TCTCGGGCTCTCCCTGCCCAGTCCCGACGGTCCCGGGGCCTTTTTCCCTTCGGGGCGCCGCGGCCGTGCAGGGCGGGACCGGCGGGCCGCCAGGGGGCGCTGCGGGGCCGCGTGGGCGCCCTGACGACGGGGCGGTAACACAGCGCCCCCTGCTGGCTCCCGCCGCCGCTCCCGATCTCCCGGTGCCGTTCCCGATCTCCCGGTGCCCTCTCCCGGCTCCCGCCGCCGTTCCCGATCTCCCGGTGCCCTCTCCCGGCTCATTTTCCCCATTTAACGACGCTGCCGTGGCCCTTCCCGGTGGCTGTCGGTCTGCACCGGTCATTAGATGGCGGCACCCCAGCCCTGGGCTCCCCGCACCCCCGTGGCCATGAGACCCGTGCGGACTTTCCTGCTCATTGAACTCAAAACTTCCTTTGGCACCGGAGCAGCCGAGCGAGCTGGGATCCGCAGGGGAAAACCCACAGGATATGTCCCGGTTAGGGTGTTTGAGTGGGCAGAGACTTTCTCCACACCTCACATTCTCGAACACAGCAAAGCAAACCTCCAGGAATAAAATAAAAATAAAAAATAAAAATAAAAATAAAAATAAAAATAAAAATAAAAATAAAAATAAAAATTTATGTCGCTGGTGACATCGATCCCTGCATTTCACAGGCAGGCGGGGTGAAGCAGTTGAGCCAGCACAGGTGTATGAAGCACCTGTATAAAGCCCTGTTGGCAATGCAGATCTTATAAAGAGTCATAAGGCCTTCAGCAATGACAGGAACTCAGTGTGACACATTTTAGCTGAAAAATACTCTTCTCTTCCTGGCCTTTGGTGATTCTCACTCTTTCCTGGGTGAGAGATGGGACAGGACACAGCCTGTCTCATGTGCCACTCTCTGGATCCTCAGCCTTCCCAAAAGCTGCCAGCAGCTCAGTCCCTCTGTCCCAGGGCTCCATCCTGCTCCTGCAGTGTCCCTGTGCTTGAAGGCTCTCTCCCATCTCTTTGTGGCAGCCACCCATGCCCAGCCCCTTGCCCACACACAGCCTGGGAGACGCTTCACACCAGGTTTCTGTGAGGTGAATGTCAAGACAAGCCCCACTTACTCTTGTCTGCATAGTGACAGAAGAATATTAAAAATTAAAATAAATTCAGGATCATTTAAGAGTCAATGCAGATGGCACAGAAGAGGATTTTCTACTTGAGAAAGCTGAATTTTGTCCTCCTGTGAAAAAAAAAAGAGTGGTTTCTCATTTTGATGTGTAGGAGACCAGGCCCATTCTTCACCTGAAGCAGCAGTCTCTGTGCAAACAATTGCACTGTGTGAGTTAACACTTCTCTTGTATGGAGAAATCATCAAGAAGAAGCAATTCTTGTACCTGAGTCAGGGATAAAAAATTTTTTAGATGACCAAAGTCCACAGTAGCAGTAAAGTGTCAGACCAAGTAATTTGGTTTTACCAGTTTAATAGTTATTCAGTTAGCTAATAATTACTTCACTGGCAAGCTGAACTCCTGCACAATGAGCACTGGGCTCTTTGACAATAGCAGCAATCCCAAACTGAGTACAGCTCGGGTGACCCCTCTGGTGTGTTCAGCACTGTGTTTTGGGGGGCAGAGCACCCTATGAGAAGACTCTCAGGTGTCTTCTTACCACAGTTAAAGCCAAAGAGAGAGGAACCCTCCATGGAGGGATGTCGTTCCCATTCCTCTGACTTACACATTCCTGTTCCTACATCTCCATGTTTTTCAAACTGAAGTAATTTGGTCTGGGTTTGGAGGGTGCTGCAGTGCTTTGGGTGATGTTGAAGTGAACCCATTTAACAGCTTTCATTTTAATCACAGAATTGACTCAAAAAGCCCATGAGCCCTCTGTGGAGCTGCTCAAAGCTCATCAGGGCTGGTTAAATGATTCACAGCTGCAGGTTCATTATTCTGCTTGGAAAGTTTCTTCAAAAGGAGAGATAAGAAACAGCTCTTCAGAGAGGGCAATAAAAGCCTTCTCTTCTTTTGGTGAAGTCACCTGGTTTTAACACTTTGAATGCTAAAGAGTTATTCTAATGTAGCTGCAGGGCTCTGTATTACACATATTGCTGGTTTTCAGTAGATGTGTAGCTGGAAATTGGTGCATCATCTTTGGTGACCAGTTACCTGCCCGAGCTCTTGCTGCCCCACTTGCAGCTTTCCCAGGCAGCCTGGGTCTGGCACAGTCACAGCACACGTGCTGTTACTGAGCAGCCCCTTCCAAACAAATCTGACTTTGGTGATCAGTTTTCACGTGTGGCAGAGCTGCAGCAGACTTGCTGTGCAGGGTTCCTGCCCTGTTTGCTTGCAGTCATTGAGGGAGAGCACAAGGGGATGGCTGAGCATCCCAGCAAGAGCACCATGGAGAAATGCACAAGAAATTGATCAGGCTCTGCTTCTCTTCATGGAAGTGTTTATTGGAGAATAACAATTAAATTCAAGGAGACCTCAAAGTATCCCATGCTGCTGCCTGGACCAGCATGCCAGGCTAAGAGTGCTGCTGGGACCAGCCCTTGACTGTGTGAGCTGCAGGGAAGCACATGGCAATGAAACAGCATTTGCAGTCCAGGCACATCCATGGCTGACTCCTCACCTGGGTAACCACAGCACTTTTTTGTGCAAAGGGCTTTTCATGCTGAAAGAAGTCAAGACACGTGGAGACAAAAGTTTTGGTCATGTGTTTATGTCTGCCACGAGCAGCAGTCTGTGCTTTTTTGCTAATCCTCTTGTAAGAGGGGATATCATCTCCTTTTCATAACTCAAAAGTTGCACAAAATCCAGAGGAGAGAGAGGGTGCTGAACCAGTATTTTATTTGACTGTTAGCCCCAAAGAACATTGGTGGATCAAATCTTACTCTATTACAACCACACAGATATTTTAACAGAGCGGATATTAAAGCAGAGCATCCAGTGGGAGGTTGTGTGTAATCAGGAGGAAGTTTGCCAGACTTTTACAAAAACAACCACCTCAAAGAAATGATGGTTTTTAAGGCAGCTCAACACTGCCAGACTGCAAACTCCTACTGAGGAAAGCACTGCTGTGCAAGCATCAGCATGGGATGGATGTGCTCTGAGGAAGCAATGTCAGCTTTTCATCTGGGGGCAAACTATCCCTTGGAGAGCTGTTGCCAGGTGAGGGATGATGCTGACAGGTGAGGGATGATACTGGCAGGTGAAGGATGATACTGCCAGGTGAGGGATGATGCTGACAGATGAGGGATGATGCTGGCAGGTAAGGGATGATGCTGACAGGTGAGGGATGGTGTTGGCAGGTGAGGGATGATGCTGACAGGTGAGGGATGGTGTTGGCAGGTGAGGGATGATGTCTCCCTGCTGCCATGGGCAGATGGGCAACCTGTGGCTTTGACCTTGGCCTGCACCATCCATCCATTCACACAGGGCTGAGGGATGCTGAGCCAGCCTGCTGTCCTGCTGAAGGATGAGGGGCAAGAACAGACTCTGATTTATTTAGCCCAGAGTAAGGAGTTTGACAGTTCTCTGGGAGTGGGTTGGGATATACATGCAAACTGTATAATATTTATTATTTATTTATTTTCGTTGATTTTTTTTCTATGTAAAGAGAAGAACATTTGAATAAGTTTTACTAAGTTGCAGTAACGATGTTTATTTGCATTTGTGGATTGGTTTGTTTTTTTAAGAAGAGACATCTTGTTTATAGAAACCTCCAGACAGTAATAGTAGGGAAATGCCATTTGCAGTGCCATGGATTCCTAGTTTTCCGGGCAATGAAACACCCAGTTAGGAGTGGTATCTGGTTAATGATGTAATTTACTTGTACCACAGAATTAAAGGTTTTGGTACTGCCTCTCTGGCGCCAGCTCCAGGCAGGATTCCACTCCAGTGGAACCAAATCAAAGATCCACCTGGTCAGAGCCAATACCTGAGCCCTGGGCATTTGCTCTCTGAGGAGATGTTTCTAATTCCATTTCCTCCCCATAGCAAATCTTCACAAAGAGATCACTGTGCCTCAGATGGGAGCACAGACCTGAAGCCTTAGTGCTGTCAGTGCCACTGGGATTTGCAGTGTCCCAAGCCATGCCAGGTCCCTGTCCCAGCTGTAGTTGTCCTCCTCCTTCCCACAATAACTTAGGAAAAAGCAAGATTACTGTTACTCTTACTCTTTCCTCCCCTTCACAGTTTCTTTTTGAAATACAAATACATTCTCAGGTCACACATTTTTGTACCCATCAAAGCGTCTTGATTTCCAAATTGAAGCAGCCTTTCACGCAGGCCTGCAGCTGTGACATGCTGCCAGTCTGGGTGGAAATGCTCAGCTAAAGAGGTGTAATTTAGAGTATTTTGCATGGGAAGACTGAAGCTCATTTCCTTTTCACTGTCTTTTGAAGCTCAACCCTTTACCAACACAAGGGCTGAGCCAGTGCAGAATGGACACAAAGAAACTGGTTATTCTTTCTGAAAAAGAGGAGAACACAACTTTGGTGGCTTTTCATAGCCATAGGCTGAAGCTGGCCATGTGCTCTCATCTCTTTCTAGTGACCCAAACCCAGCTCTAAATGTGGTGGCTGGCTCCACTGTGAGCCCCCAGAGCAGCAGCTGCTGGCGCCAGCTGTCAGGCACACACACCCCCAGGAATCCCAGCTATCTCTTGAATTCCAGAGGCACTGTTTGGACCAGGACCAGCGTCAGTGCACCCTGCCACTGGCGATGTAGCTGGAACACAAGGATCTGTGCTTGAGGCGAATGCTGTGGCACATTGTCAGATGCTCAGTTTAACTGAGCAGCGAATGCATTACTGTTTACATATTACAGGTTAAACTTCTTCCACCTCCTGCCTTTTGGGTTGAAAACCTGCAGCTTTGGTCTGCTGGTTCCATCTCAGACAAAGGCAGAGCCCCCAGTTCTATAGCTGCTTAAAGGCTGCTGCTGCTGCTGCCCACAGGATAACTACAGGACAGAGGGACAGGCTGACCCAGAGGGGAAGGGCTGCCAGGCTGGCAGGGAAGCCACAAAGAACACAGCTCTTGAGGACTGGTGAAAAATAAAATACTATTGAAAGCAAAAATAATTTAGATTTTATGCCAAAGAAATGTCAATTCACAAAGTTAAAGCCCTAACAGCTTTACATCAAGCCACAGTGTGTAGCTGGTGTGTGTATAACCAGGGTAGCTTCCCCATGAAAGGCTTTGTGTGCTGTTAAACAATTCTTTTCATTTTTTGCTGACTGATGGAACTGTTCCAATGAAAAATTCACTCAGCACCCCTCATCCTGGAGCCCACAAGTGGGCAGTTCATCCCTAGAGAATTGTGATACCTGAGAGAGCAACGTCCTGAATGACCCAGTCAAAGGCTGAAGTTTGCATGGTGTTGGTTGAGTTGATGGTCTCCAGAGCCCTTTCCCAACCCATTTCCCCATGATTTTGCAATCCCTGTGTGATGCTGCCCAGCTGTCAGATGAAAGGTTCAGCTTTCCGCCACGATCGGCTGCACGCTGGATATGTCCGTCCTTGCAGAGCTCCTCTGTGGGGGAGCCTGTGCCTTCTGGCACGTGCTGCTCCTCCTGCAGGGGCAGTTCTCAGGCTTGGCCCGGCGGAACAGGGGGGAGAGGGGCTGCAGAGCGTGGCCCTGCGCCGAGCTCCGGGGGCGGCACACGCACAGCAGGCAGCGCAGCTCCGCGCGGAAGCTCTCGTTCAGCCAGCAGTAGATGAAGGGGTTGTAGCAGGTGCTGCTCATGGCGAACCAGTGGAAAGCAAAGTACAGAGCGTTGCTGCTGTGGATGGCCCTGCAGGAGAGCAGCACCACGTAGCAGTTGAGGGGGAACCAGCACACGGCAAACACAACCACCACCAACATCAGCATCTTCAGCGTCATCTTCTTCTTCCTCTGGTGGGCATAGTATTGCTCCATGGTGAGGTCCCCGATGGCGTTCCTCAGCCAGAGCTTTTTGGCCACTATGGTGTAGGTGATGGAGATCACAAGCAAGGGCAGAACGTACAAGAGAACAAACGTAGTCAGGTCCAGGTACTTCCAGAAAAGATCAGCAGGAGGAGGGAAGCTGGGGAGGCAGACCATTCGGATGGTTCTGTTTCTGGAGATCAAAGAGAAAGAGCTCTCAATTCCACTAGCAGCTGCACACATCTGAGGACAAACAGCCCAGACATTCAGACAAGATTCAGTACAGGTAGCAGAACTCATTTGATGTTGTATGGAAAGTGCCACTTTCAATGGAAAATTTTACTCTAGGTCTGACCTTTGGCTCCAGTGAAGGTTATCTTAAACAAATCCCCAGGAAAAGAAAGAAATCATCCATATTGGCATCTGTATCCTCTGCTGACAAAGAGGCTCTCTCCCCTGTGCCTGCCCCAAATTACATGGTTGAACCTCTGAGCCTAAAACAGCTAACGAACCAGCCTGGAAGCAATTCCATTGATTTTCATTGTCCCTTTGTGACAGACACAGCACCCATGTGAAGGGAACTAAAACTTCTCTGTTTCACCACCCTTTCTGCTCTAATAACATGGATGGAGGGGTGTGGCCTTGGCTTATCTGGGGCTTTGCAAATATCATACAACAAAAAATATGTAAATGTCTTACCCAATATAAAACCTTGTCAGAGTCTGATAAATGGCGTGGGGCAGTGAGAAGCAGCTGGCCATGACCCAGATGATGATGATGCAAATCCCTCCTTTCACCATGGACATGCGTGGCTTGAGAGGGTGCATGATCACCTGCAGAGAACAGCAACTCCTGAGGATTTACAGCGTCTGGGTCACTCTTTGAGCCCTATCTTGCATGTGGCATGCAGCAGCAGCTCCACATCTCTTCAATGTTAAAAGGCAGAGAGACTTGCTTTACAGGATTTCAGGGAGCACAAGGGAAATGCATGAAGTTGTGTGTGTATTGGATGTTACTGCTGGCCCAGAGCCTGAGCAGAGAAACACATTCTATGTGACCCTCAGAGACTCCAGAGACCACAGTAGTGAGATGTCTGTAGAGCTATATGCACTGGGGAGGATTACCTTAGGCAATGAAACAGTAATTAAAAATAGACCTATCATGCCATCCAGATGATCTCTTGGCTGATGAGGTCTTTGGTATTTTATGCATGTCATTTCTAGTCCCATTATAAATACCTACTTAATCAAGTAGTACAGCTCCCCCAGAGTATCTGTCTGCTGTGGTATTTCTCAGGATTAGCAATATTTATAGAGGCAAGTGTTGGTTTCTCTTTAGTCCAGGACATCTCCTCACTTCTGTCTTTATCTCTTTGGGCCATACTAGTTCATTCCAGCCCTGAGGAACCCCCTCCACTGAATTTAAGGCCATGTATTGTTTGCCCTTAATTAAACACTTATAGATACCAAGCCATGCCTTGCAATCAACCCAGAATCTACTGATTAAAATGAATCACTGTCAAAGTGCTTTGATTTCAGGAGCTGTAATATTGCACATGAAATGGGCAGACTGTCAAACTCTTTGTGGTAAAAGGGACAGAATTGTCTGATTTCTGCTTTGGCAGTCCCCCTGATTCTCTGACACCAGGTGGAGCCAGTTCCTGGTCTGAAGTTCATCCAGCCACGGCGTTTATCACCTGAAGATGCTTTTCTGTAGCAACTGTTTCAGTGACTCCAGCACTGCAGAAATCCAATCTACTTGAGAGCTCACCTTGCTGGGTCTGGCCTCCCAGCACTCAGCACTCATCAGCTAAAGAACAAATTACTAACTCTGCTTCACTTAAGGAAACCCTTCAATCTGAACTGATTGCTTGACTTGAAAGGTTTTCCTGGCTGGTATCAGGGCTGGAGGAGGAGAGAATTTCTTACCTTGAACTGGACGACTTAACATAGTTCTTACTGTTTCCAGCCTAAGGCAAGGAATGGGGCAAGCGTCAGAACAGACAGACTCTCATAAATCTGTGTGCAGAGATCATGTGGGCTGGCTGATGTTTGAATTCAGCACTCATTCCCTGTGCTCTGAGGCAGGGCTGAGGAGGGCAGGGAGCCCACAAGCCCAATGGCTCAGGCAGAGCAGGGCTGGACCAGGCTCTCTGGCACTGATCTGAGTTTTCAGAATCTCCAAGAACAGACTCCCACTAACCACAACCTCTCTGGACAGCCTGTTGCAGTATTTCATCACCCTCAATGGAAAAACCATCGGTGTTTTGTCCACTGCCATGAAAGCTGGAGTTCTCCCCTCTGTTCCCTGAGTCTCGAGACAGTGCAGGCTTCAGGCACTGGGATTTGAGGAGGAAACAACTGTGTATTTAGCACATTATTTACTAGCACGCACGGGAGTGGTGCCTTAAACATACCTGGTGCCGGTCCAGTGCGATGGCAGCGAGGGTGAGCACAGACACGTGGACAGAGCAGTACTGAACAAACCTGCTGATGTGACACATCAGCTTTCCAAACACCCAGGTGCTGCTCACAAACCTCACCTGGAGAACAGACCACATCAGATTAAGAGGAGCAGTACCTGAAGAGAAGAAAATTGGCTTCCCAGGTGCTTTAATACAGCTTCCTGAGGCTTTGGAGGGCTTTATCCTCATTTTTTCCAAGGGAAACAGTGACTGTGCAAGAGGGTCTCAAAGTGAGGTGAGACTTACTGCACTGTCCAAACCAATGGCTTGAGCAGAGCTCTGTGTATGTTGTGTAAATGTGTGCACTTGTAAATTTACCATGGCCCTTCTGGAACACATAAAGAAATCTTAGCTCTGAGGCTAAGGCTCTGCAGGGCACACTAGGTGCCTCCCAGAAAACATGATACCTTTGGATGCTGAAAGCTGCACAGTCTCCAGACTTAGTGAGAGAAATCCATGGAATCCATCTCACCTGTTCCCAGAGAGGTCTTATTGATGATGGCTTTTCTGCAGAGGAGAATGTGCCAAATTGCCTCATTACCTTGTTATTCCTGACTGTGTAATATTAACTATAAATTAATGTCACTCATTTTGCTGCAGATTAAGCTAATTTGAAGTAAAGTATATTTACTACAAAGCATCTGTCCACAGAAAATTAGACTAGCTAATCTGTTTTCAATTAGTCTAATTAATTTCCCTGTAGGGGTGACTCTTGCAGCATTGACTGTCACTGAATTGGAGCACTGTGCTGGATCTCTGGAGCTGTTGCAAAGCTCATTCCTGAGAGAGCTTATAGAAATTTAATTACACGTGCCCAGTGTGTGGCTGTTTGCGTGTGAACACACAAGAGGGCACCAGGCTCTCCCTGAACAAATTACAGGATGCAAATCTTATCAGAGCAAGGCAGAGAAGTCCCACCAAAGAAACAGCATCAGTTTAAGAAAGGGTGAATTCCAAGAACTAATTCAAAACCTGCTTTTGGAAGGCTGAAGAGCACTCTGGGCAGGATGAAGCAGGAGGATTTTGAACTGGAGTGCTGGGTTAAATCCAGGAGCAGAGTCCTGTGTACAGGGCATGTATAGTCTGTGACAATGGGGCAAGAAATTAATCTTTCATTTTTCCCACCTCATTCATTTAATAGTCTTTTATATCATATACATTTTTAGGCACTGACAATAAAAAAGGATTGTTAGCCCCAGGCAGCACTGTCTGTAGTGGCCGAGGGAGGGATATGCCACCGACACTGTTCAGTGCAGCCTGAGCACTTCCCTGAGATGTTGCACAGGGACTGACCTGGTTCATGTTGTTTCCACAGGAAACCAGCCATTAGTTGGATTTTCTTGTGTCAAACTTGTCCCCGCTTCCTTCCCCATCTACAGGCAGAAAGGGCTCCCAGATCTGTGCCTTGCCCACGCAGGGAGGGAAGGCTGCAGCAGAGTGACCCCTGCAATGGATTGGAGGGGGTGTGAGTCCCCAGCTCCACTTGCTCAGGGGGTCTTTGGGATGGGGGCTGTGGCTGCACCCTCTCCAGGAGGCAAAAGGGGTAGGGAGGCAACAGTAAGTCTGTATCCCAGCCTGGTCCCTGCCCCTCAATCCCAGTGCACACACTGACAGGCACACACAGACACCGGCTGGACGGGGCTCACCAGTGTGAAGGGGGTGTTCAGGGTGGTGATCATCACGTCAGCAACAGCCAGGTTGACGATGAAGAGGTTGGTGGCAGAGTGCATCCTCTTGTTCTTGATGACCACGTGGCACACCAGGATGTTGCCAAAGAGGGAGATGCAGATGATCACAGAGTAGGCGACGATCAGCAGCGCCTGCACTGTCCGGCTCTGGGACTCGCCCTCGTACTTGGCTCCGCTGTCAAAGTCCCCCAGGTCCTCCAGGTTCAAGTCACTGTGGAAGAAGGACTGGTTGGGGAAGCCGTACAGTGCAGAGAAGAAGCTGGTGGTGTTGTGGTTCTCTGCTCTCCAGAAGGGCTTGGGCATGTACTGCAAGGGGAACCAGGTGTGCTGTCTCATGGCTGGGGCAGCTGAGCCCTGGTCCAGCCACACTCGTCAGCGCCTTCTGCCAGCTCAGCTGCTAAAGCCAGTGGTTGCAGGACGGAACACACACACTTGCCTTTTCAAAATCTGCCCCATGATTGCAAATTAGAGAAAAGGATTGATAAATGGGTCCTTCTGCCTGTGCTGGGGACACATCAGCTTCACCTCAGAGGCTCCCTGTAGGCTGTCCTTAAGTCCCATATGTCCCCCCTCAGAGATGCTGATTCAGAGGCTGAAATATCAGAGATCCCCAAACACTTTCTCTCTGCACCAAGGAAGAAATCTTAGTGAAAAATTCCTTTTGGGCACTGTTCTTCTTCAATCTGCAATTTATCCTCAGAAATCTGCTTTACTGGTTCTCCACACAGTCCTTAATCCATCAGGTTTCCATTTCCCAAGAGTTTTCAGAGCTTGGCAGAAACAAAAAATCAAGGGATGTCTTTTGCTCTGCTTTTCCCCCTCCAAGTATCTCTGACAACTCAGTGAAGCAGCTTTGCTGAGCAGCAGAATGGTCCCTGTGTTCCCTGTGATATGCACAGCTGCCAGATGACACACTGCACAGGAAGGAGCCAATGGCAGATCTCTTCCCAGTTTTTCCTGAGGTGTATCACAACCCACACGTGGGCAACAGCACAGCCTGACATGTGCAGATCCAGAGAGCAGCAAAACACAGACAGAGGGTGAATGTGCTATGATCTCCCCTGTCTGCTCTCTGCTCTTCTCTGGACCCCCAGCACAACTGCTGCATGGGGGTGAAGCATCTTCATTACTCTGTGGCACCTCTCTTTCTCTTCATCCCAGAGATTTAGCAGAGAACATCTGAGGGCCTTGTGCTTGGCCCCAGCCCCTTCCTGCTCTCATGTGGTGCAGAGAATGGAGTGAAAAGTGAAATCTGACAGTAGGAGCAGCAGCCCAGCATGCATGGGGGGCACCCAGGATGGGCACTCTCTGCATCCTGGCTGGGCTGGGGTCTGTGCTGACCCCAGGGCACTCAGGCACCTCTGGCATCTCTGCAGCAGCCTGGCAGAGGTGCTGGAACACACAGGGCTCCATCCCTGGGCTCCTTTGCTGTATATGGCCCCACAGGTCCCTTTGCATTTCCCTGCCATTTCCCCGCTGTGCATCAGGAGGGAGAGGGGCACAGCAGCACTTGTGTTTTGCCCACTGCCACAAAAGCTGCAGTTCTCCCCTCTGCTCCCTGAGTCTCAAAACAGTGCAGGTTCCAGGAACTGGGATTTGAGGAGGAAACATGCACATGCATGAACCCAACAGCAGTGAGATGTCCCAGGTGCTAGAGGGGGTGACTCTCATCCCATATTCCTGCAGAACAGATTTATTCTCTTGCAGGTACAAACCCTTCAGCAATCACATACTGGTTTGCTGCAGTTATTATCCACTTACAAACATTCTGAGCTGCTCAAAGCAGGATTTGGGGCTCATCATGCATTGGTGCTGGCTCCTCTCAGGCAGACAGACAAAGCAAGGGAGAAATGCACTTTTGCCAAACCATCCAGGTGAATTGTGCCACCCTTTGTTTCTGTAGAAGATTTCTGGCTTTCACGTGTTGACACTACTTGAGACACAAATTACTGGAAATTTTCATTTTTGTGAGATTATTTAGCATTCTCCTTGTTAGTGCTCTTTTGAAAAGAAATGTCAGATTGCTGAAATGTCACTTGAGATGCATATCCACCTTCTGAACAGATCTAATGTAATCTCATCAGCAGATCAATGTTGATGAGGGCCAGAGAAATCAGAGCTATACTATAAAAATTCAGATCCTTGGGAACATGAAATCACCAGATGTCAAGCATTTTCACAGGACATTGCCATGGTTCATTGCCTTTGCTCATGGAGGCCAAGGGGCCTGTTGGGAACAAGTCCCTGAGTTCAGTGGGTTCATGGAATCTTTCCTGTGCTTCCCTCCAGGGAGTTTTTCCTGCCTGACAGAGAGAAGTGAGATAATTCAGCAGTCACACTCATTGTACAGCATGTAAAAGCATCCAGGGTCAAGGCTGTTTGCACCTGCACCTGAATTTAAGCTTATTTTAAGGAAATGAATTCTAAAGACATGATTCATCTCCACTACTGGACAAAATTAAATGATGAGGCAAATCATAATAGCAGTGGAGATTTTCTCTGCAGGGTGTTACTACAGGCTCAGTGAGTACCTGCATTCAAATGCTTGCCCCTGTCTGCTCCCACAAAGATGTACAGAAAATGCCTTCATCACTGGAGTATTGAGCTCAAAAACTGAATAAAGTTGTCCCCACAGGTCCCTGCAGATTGTTATGTTTCATATTTATGAGGTCTGTAAAGACTTCACAAGAAGGCAGATGGGAAATTCTGTGAACCCGAGGCCACTGCATTAAAACTTTTCCTAATGCAGATATTCCCATCATGTTCCAGCTGTGGAATTTTTGGTTTTTGCCTTGGTCTTCTCCATCCATCCTTCCCTGAGCTCCACTCCTGATGCTGTGTGGGGTCCCCATGTCATCAGGAAAGGAGGTGAGAGCTGCTGGAGATAAAGTGCTGCTCTGCTTTGGGTCTGCACTCAGGACCCCCAGAGCTGATGCCCAGAGCTCCCACCAGGAGATTCCAGCCCCTGAGAGAATCCTCTCCTGCCAGCTGGGAGCTGGGATCCTGGCAAAGCTAAACCAAGGTCTGCTGGTGCAATAATCAGATTTCTGGGTTGAAAAAGAAAGTGTCTCTGCTCTGCCATTCAGAGCTGAAAGCAGCTGGAAGCAGACAGGAAGTTTCAGTGTTTCAGTGGCTGAGCCTCGTCCAAAGGGAGAAAATTCAACAGCTGAAATTGTCAAGTCCAAATGACTTGACAATTCAATTCAATATGTTTGTTGCATCATTCACCTTCTTGAAAGATTTTCTGCCCTAGAGAGTTTCATAGTTTACTCTTTTCTATGTGAAATAAAAGTTTGATAAATAACAGAAAAAACAAAAGCTACAGAGCAACCTCTGAAGTTTTATTTCACTCAAAAGGTGTGTTAGAAATAAAGGTCTGGACATTCCTTACATACCATGAATCTGCAACATTTTCTCTTTTCATATTTGCTTTAAAGCACTTGGGACACTGTATTCTTCTCCATTTGCAATGATTATTCCTGCTTTTGTGACTCAGAAAACGTGGGACAAACAGGAACAGGAATTTTACAGGACATTTCATGGACCTGATCATAATAAATAACCCACATTTGGTGATGACAGAGTGAATACCCCAGTAATACACTAAATAAAGCAGCTCTGTAATTCAGACAGGTGCTAACCATTCAAAACCACACTACACACAATGCCTTTCTGTGCAGGTGAGCCAAGGTTTGGCTTCTGGGGAGGGAAAGATCTGCTCATCTCCAGCAACCTGAGGGTCACCCGTGTGTGCCTCCATCCCACTCACATCAATCCTGTGTGCTCCCTCCTGATATATGAGAGCCATTGTGGCTATAATCCAGCTTTTACAAAACATTTTCACTTAATGAGGGCAGACTTTTGGGCAAAATCATAACATTTACCACTCTCAATGTGGTAAATTTACCAGTCCCAATGGCTTTTGTTTTTTCCCTGAGAAAAATCCCTGTTTGGCGGAAAAATGTGGAAGGAAGGTGCTGGGCACAAACTGTCTCTGCCAGATACTGAATTATATCCCCTTGAAAGAGAATTTGAGCTTTTATTCTCAGATCTTTCTTGGAAGCAGTGTGATTGAATTCTCATGCTGCAGACAGACAGAGGGAACAAAAAATGGAGGACACGTGTGGGATACCAGGGTGCTGATGCTTGACTTGGGAGCTGGAAATAACTTCTTCAAATACACGAGGCCAGCCTTTCTGCAGTGAAGCCTGACATCTGAATTATTCACAGTGAATAACTGGGGAGGAGCTGCATGGCCTTGGGGCCAACTGCTGCGCTGTAATGGACCATGTCCTTTCCTAGAGAGCAGCCTGGGTCAGCTGAGTGTCCCGGAGAAACTCCCCAGGGCCAGAGGAAGAGTCAGCTCTAGCTCAAAACAATGTACCTGACAGGTTTACCATGACTTCTCTACTGTAGCTGCAATTATTTCTAATTCCATATGCCAGACACCCAGAGAGGAGCAGCACACACAGCAAAGCACTTGAGGAGGGCAGAGGCAAGCTGTTCTCAGCTGAAAGGACAGAGTTCTATTCTAAAACTTCAGTTTATTCCCCATGACTATCCAACGGCTGTGAGGTAAAGCCAAGGGACTCTCTGTTGGCTCAGAACATGGAATTTGGCATGCATTAATGCAGAAGATTGGCCCTTGGCAAAGAAGGCTCAGCAGATACAGAGGAGACAGGATGTACAGGGGGGATGACATGGCAGCTGTCACTCATGGTCCCTCAGGAGACAGGAGTGAGCACTGCCAGGTTCAGGCAATGCTGGGGGTTTTTCACTTTCTAGAAGATTCAACACCAGAAGAAAAAGACAGGTGGGTTTCCAGGTGGGTTGTTCCACAGCCAGCTGACCCTGGCAAAGGGTGGGCAGCTGCTCCTGAAGCCTCTGTCAAGCCTTTTTTCTTCTGTTTGAAGGGAAAACCTTTGGAAGGAAAACTACTTTGAAGTTTTGAAAAATAACAAAAAAAACCCAGTCTGACTATATAGCAGCTTAAAATGTTCAGACAGAAATCAAGAGCCAGGGTCCTTGAATAAGTGATGCAGAAGATAAAGTATGGTTTGAAAGGAAACATTTCTGAAGACAGGGATGCCATGAGCCCTGAACATACAGTGCCAAAACCCACCCATGAGTAGCAGCTTTCTTTTTGGAGAGAGTGACTGGAGAATAGGTGGTATTCTGAAAGAAATGCTGGTTTTTCACTGAAAATCTGAATGAAATCCAGGACATAAATGCCATGACCAACCATCTGAAGTTTTAGCTGTGGACAATATATTTTACCTCGTTCCATTTAAAAAAAAAATTAAAATGCTTTGCTATATTTCAGAAGCAAATACTTCTCTAAAATAATAAAATTTCCAACTTCAGTCTCTCAGCCCAGAGTTCAGTTGCTGAATTTGGGGTCTTGGCACACAGCTGGAGGAGGCAATGCCTCCAGGGGACGTGGCCCTGTGCAGGGGT